GTAGCGGACGCGCCGCCCGCGCTCGCGGTGGTGGCGCCGCCCGCCGCGCCCGCCGCGCCCGCCGCGCCCGCCCCGGCGCCGGCGGCCCCGCGCGCGGCGGTCGCGGTCGCGCCGCGGCCGCGCCGGGCGACGCCGCGCGCGCTGCGCGTCGCCGTCGTCGCCGCGGCCCTCGCGCCCGCGTCGTCGTCCCTCTGGGTCCCCCGCCTGGCGGCGGTCGCGGCGAGCCGCGCGTCGGCGTCCCTGGTCGTCCCCCGCCTCGCGCCGGTCGCCGCGCGGCTCGCCGCCTCCGCGGCGAAGCTGCCGCGGCTCGCCGCAAAGGCGCGCGCGGTGCCGCGGCTCGCGGCGAACGCGGCGCGGACGCTCCTGCGCCTCGCCGCGGCCGCGCTCCGGCCCTAGCGTCTAACAGGGCACGCGCCTCCCCATGCGCTTCGCGCCGTCGCCTTTGCCGCCGCGGCCCGCGAAGACGAAGGGGAAGGGCGCGACGGCCGTGGGCACGAGGCGCCCCGCGAGGCGCCAGGTCAGGCGCCCCTCGCAGCAGCCGTGGCGGAAGTCGTGGCTGCCGACGCCGTAGGCGCCGTGGAACGTGCGGTCGAAGACGGCGCGCCAACTCGCCTGGCCGAAGAGGCGGCACGCGGCGACGAAGGCGTCGGCGTCGCGCGCGGCGCCGAAGTGGGCGCGGACCGCGGCGTCGTCGGCGCGTTCCGCGTAGGCGTCGAAGTCGCGCCGCTCCGGCGGGCCGGGGAACCGCTCCTCGAGGCGGAAGTAGCCGTCGGCGAGCGTCGCGGGCACGACGGCGAACATGTCGTCGACGACGGCGCAGGTCGGGATGCCCGCGGCGCGCATGGCCGCCCGCGCGTCGTCGCGGCCCGCCGCGCCGAGCTGCCGGGCGAAGTAGTCGCAGCCGCGCTTCGGCGACCCGGAGAGCGCCGCAAGCGACGTGTTCCGCGGTTCCGCGTGGAGCACGCCGCGCGCGCGCAGGGACACGGCGTCGGCGGCGAAGGTCCCCAGCGGCGCGATGGGCGCCGCCCAGCGCAGGTCCGGCCGCGCACGCACGTAGTGCGTGAACGCGAGGCGCTCCGCGGCCTCGTACCCTCGCGCGAAGCCGTAGCACGCCGCGAGCCGCGTGTACTGGTCGTCGAAGTCGACGGGTGGCGGCGGCGCGACGACGACGGTGCCGCCGACGTCGGCCCAGAGCGCCGCCTGCGCGCCGTGGATCGCCGGCCCGACGCAGACGAAGGTGTGGACGGCGTGCGCCGCCGCGAGGGGCCCCACGACGAACGCGGCCCAGTTCGCCGGCGCGTCGGCGCCGACGGCGTGCGCGCTCATGACCACGGCCGCGTGCGGCGCCGCCACTGCCGTCGCGGCCAGCGCCAAGAAGCCACATTTCATGGCGGCATCATCGGGATCGGGCAGCCCATAAAAAAATAAGATTCCGACGTTACTCGGGTACGATGGGCGCCGCGGACGTCGCCGTGGGCAGCCCCCCGGCGTCGCCGACGGCGGCGACGCAGACGCAGCGGACGACGCGCGTGACCAAGGGCACGGCCTTCGACGGCGCCTACTACGCGAACCACCCGCGGCTCCTCGACCGGCAGCGGCTCATGGACGACCTGCGGCGCCTCGAGCGCAAGCTCTACATGGCGTCGCAGCGCATCGTCATCCTCGAGCGCGAGAGCGGCCAGCGCGAGGCCCTCGAGGCGCGCACGACGCGGGACCGGCGCGTCATGATGCGCCTCGAGCGCTCCGTCTTCGGCGTCTACGCGAAGATCCTCGCGGCGCTGCTCCAGTTCGAGGACAAGCTCGCGCGCGAGAAGGGCGCGACGACGGCCGAGCCCGCCGTGCTCTACGGCGCGGGCCAGCTCGAGTACGCGCGCAAGGCCGGCGACGCGCTGCGCGCGATGCTCGCGGCCGTCGCGGACCCGGACGGGTCGCCCGCCGCGGGCCGCGGCGACGAGCCGGGCCGCTACGTCTCCGACGAGGGCGTCAAGGCCTACCAGGCCGTCGGCGCGAATCTCGTGGCCCGCGTCGACAGCGCCATGTCCGGCGAGATGCGCCACGAGCTCGCGCGCATCGCGTCCAAGGGCGACGCGCCGCACGAGAGCGAGCTCGAGGCGCGCGTGAAGACGCTCGAGGCGGAGAACAAGCTCCTGCGGCAGAAGCACCAGGTCGCCGAGCTCAAGGGCCTCGAGCTCCGCAAGCGCCTCGACGACGTCATGGCCGAGCGGTACCGCGACGGCCAGCGGTCCATCGACGCGGAGATCGAGAAGCGCGAGTTCCGCGACGCGATCCTCGAGCTCGTCATGGACCTGCGCGACGGCATCGTCAAGCGCCTCGGCTTCATCCCCGCCTCGACGCAGGCCGAGATCAACGCCTTCATCTCGACGCTCGCGGACGCGGAGAAGGCGGACGCGCGCGCGGCCGTCGCCGCGGCCGCGGCGAGCCTCCCCGCGGCGCCGGCCAAGGCGCCGGGCCCGCCGCCGCCGCCGGCGCGCGCGTGATGCCGTAACCTCGCGCCCCGGGAGATGAAAAAAACAAACATGCGTGGGTGAAGCCGACGTTCACCGTCCTGCCGCACAGCGATTATGGCGTCGTGCTAACGGGCTCGTCCACTGCCTAGAACGCATGGCCGCGCTCGACGATGCTTCGGCCTTCGACGACGCCTGCGCCGCCGCGAAGAAGCTCAGCCCGTCGACGACGGACCAGCTGAACCTCTACGGCCTCTACAAGCAGGCCACGCAGGGCGACGTCGCAACGGGCCGCCCCTACGCCTGGGACATGACGGGCCGCGCCAAGTGGGACGCCTGGAAGGCGCGGGCCGGCCTCGCCGCCGCCGACGCGCGGCGCGCCTACGTCGAGGCCGTGGCCGCGCTCGCCGGCGGCCCGGCCGCGGCCGGCGCCGGCGACGGCGCCGAGGACGGCGCGGCGGCCGAGGGCGCGGCGCGGCTCGGCGGCCGCGCCGTGTCGACGCTCGCGGGCGGCACGGACGAGGAGGCCGCCGCGGGCGCGTCGACCTACGAGCCGAGCGCGCTGCTCCAGGCCGCGGAGGCCGGCGACGCGGCGCGCGTCGAGGCCGCGCTCGCCGCGGGCGCGGACGCGGCCCAGGCCGACGACTGCGGCCGCGCGGCGCTCCACTGGGCCGCCGACGTCGGCAGCGCCGGCGCCTGCGAGGCGCTCCTCGCGCGCGGCGCCCGGGTCGACGCGCGCGACGACGACGGCCTCACCGCGCTGTCCTACGCGGTCACGTGCGAGCACGGCGCCGTCGTCTCCCTGCTCCTCGCCGCGGGCGCGGACCCGGACGCCGCGGACGACGAGGGCGACACGCCCCGCGCCGCGGCCTCGGGCGCGATCCGCGCGCTCATCGACGCGGCCGCGCGGTGATTTTTTTGGCGTGAGCCAGCTCCTAGGGATATGGTAAAGCCGGGTGGATGTTAGCGGCGCCTAGCGCCGGGCCTTGAGCGCGGCGACGACGAGGAGCGCGCCGGCGGCGGCGAGGGCGACGAGGAGGGTCTTGGGCGGCCCCGGCGCGTCGCGCGGCGCGTCGAGGTCGACGCCGAGGTCCGACGCGACCATCTTGCGGCAGATGGGGTGGTAGAAGTCCGCGTGGGCGACGAAGGTGTCGACGGCGAGGTCCTTGGCGCCCGGCATGGGGCTCTTGGCCAGCGCGCGGTAGAGCGGGCGGACGAACTTCATGCGGCCCTGGGACGTGAGGAAGTCGACGACGAGGGGCCCCGCCGTCGCCGCGCCCGCGGCGAGCAACAGCTTGCACCAGCGGGACCGGAGCTCCGCGTTCGCCGTGCCCGTGAGGCCGTAGCGCGCGTCGACGGCCCGCAGCGCCGCCGCGTCGAGGCCCGCCTCGGCGTTCCCGTCGTCGCCGTTGGCGCCCAGCGCGTCGAGGAACGCGACGCGCTCGTCGTTGGTCCACGACGCGAAGTCGTCGGCCGGCGGCGGGGCCCCCGCGCGCCACGCGGCGGCCAGGTCCTCCGCGCGCTTCGCGAGCGACGTGTCGAGGTCCGGGCCGCACGGGCACGTCGCCCGGCGCGTGGAACCAGGCGCGCCAGTCCACGGACTTGAGCGTCTTCTCGCCGAGCTGCGCCGTGGCGAAGGCGCGGAAGTCCGCGGACGTGAGCGTCTTGAAGCGGTACTTCTTGATGTAGGCTTTGAAGAACTTGGCGAACTTGGCCTCGCCGGCGAGCCCCTCGATGAGGTGGAGCAGCGACGACCCCTTCTCGTAGGGCACCAAAGAAAAGGCGTCGTCGGGGTCGATGCCCTCGACGGGCGGCACGAGCGCCGTGAGCGGCCCCTGGCCGATTTCCTTGAAATGTTCCACCGTCCCCGTCAGGCCCGCCTGCGACGCCGCGAGGTCAAAGTCCGTGAGCTTCTTCATCAGCGCCGCGTCGCCCTTGCCGAAGAGCGTGGCCTTGATCTTGCGCTCGAGCCAGCGCGTCCAGCCCTCGTTGAGCCAGAAGTGGTTCCACGTCGCGTTTGTCACCAAGTTGCCCGTCCACGAGTGCGCGATCTCGTGCGCGACGACGCCGGCCAAACTCCGGTCCCCGGCGAGGAGCGTGGGCGTCACAAACGTCAAACACGGGTTCTCCATGCCGCCGTAGGGGAACGACGGCGCGAGGCACACGAAATCGTAGCGGCCCCAGACGTAGGGCTGGCCCGTGATCTCCTCCGCGGCCGCGAGGAACTGCTCCGTCTCGGAGAACTCCTCGCGCGCCGCGTCCACAACACAAGGCTCGGACCAGACCGCGCAGCGGTCCGAGATCTCGCGGCGCTCGAGGTCCGCCACGACTATGGCGACGAGGTACGTCGACGTCGGCACGGGCTGCTTGAAGAAGGACCGGTTGTAGCCCTCCGGTAAATCGAGCGACGGCGTCACCAAGGGGAGGCCGTTCGCCTGGAGCCCCGACATGAGCGCCGTCGCCCAGGCGGGCGCGTCGACGACGGCGTCCCAGGAAACTTTCGCCCCGGGCGCGTCCTGGCACGGGACCAAACTCCGCGCGTGGATGGCCTGGCACTGCGTGAAGAGGTAGGGCCGCGTCTTGCCCGCGGTCTGCGCCGGCTCGAGCCACTGCGCCGCGGAGCACGCGTTGCCCGTCGCGTACTCGAAACGGACCTTGTGGAGGTCGCCGACCTTTTTGATCTGGAGCGGCACGGACGCGGCCACCCCGAAAACGTCGTGGGGCGCGCCGAGCGTCACGGCGACCTCCTCGTCGTCGACGTAGGCCTTGGAGATGGTCAGGCCGCCGTGCGTGTCCACGACGAACGCCGCGCATTGTTTGAGCGTGGCGACTTCGTACGTCACCGCGCCGGACAGCGTCTCCGCGGCGAAGTCGACGCGCCACTCGAGGGACATGTGCTTCGCCACGGCCGACGTCCAGTTGCTCTGGCTACTCGTCTCGACCAGCGAGCACTCGCGCGCGTCCTCGACGGACCGCGCGTCCGGGTCCACCATGGCGAAGCCGCCGACGCTGATGCCGCCGCTCGGGCTCTGGCTGATGGACAAGGGCGGGAGCGGCGACGACGCCAGCTTTCTGGAGTAGGGGAGGACGGCGCGGACGAGCTGGTTCCTGGCGGAGGAGGCGATGTGCGCGGCGCTGGAGGAGGCGCTCTGCCTGGACTCGGCGAGCGGCTTGTGGCAGGACGAGCTTCAAACGCCACGGCCAACACCGTCGCGGCGCGCGCGGCCTCTCAGACCCATCCGAAAGGCCTCGCGTCGTCGGCAGGTGTCGCGGGAGCCGGCCGAGCGCCCTCCGCCAACGCGCTCGGGCCGCGGCGCCGCATGGAGCTGCGCATCGAGTTCTTCTCGCTGGGCTACTTCTTCGGCCTGCTCCTCCTCAGCTGCGGCGTCATCGCGCCCCTCGCCTGGACCGCCGTGCGGCGCAAGTTCCTCAAGGGCAAGTACTACCGCCGCGCCTAGAAAAGCGCCGCCGGCGGACACGATGCCGACCGCGGGCGGCGGCGTCGCTACGCTCGGCGACCTGTCGGCGCCGGAGAAGCGGCGCGTCGCGCGGCTCGTCGAGCAGCTCCTCGCCGTGGAGAAGGCCCACGAGGCCGCCCAGGCCCAGTGGCGCGAGCGCGAGGCCCAGCTCAGCCACCGCGCGGCCGCCGCGGACCGCGCGGCGGCGGCCTCCGCGGACGCGGCGGCGCAGGCCGCCGCGGACCTCGCCGCGGCCCGGGCGTCGCTGCGCGCGCGCTGCGACGCGTCGGACCGCGCGGCGGCCGACGGCGCCCGCGACCTCGGCGCCGCGCGCGCGGACCTCGGCGCCGCGGAGGCCGACCGCGACGCCGCGCGGCGGAGGCTGCGCACAGGGCAGGAAAAGGGTGATTCAACGTCGCTTCAACGTGAGTGTTCCGCGCGCGCGCGTTCCGAAAAAAGCACCCACGCTTCGAGAGCGCTCCGAGAGATGATCGCTCGTCCAAAAATCAGCCGAAACGAGCGGAAAACGACCGAGATAGGAGCCTTTGAAGTTGGGAATTCCGCACCCTTTTCCTGCCCAGGCTGCGCAACGCGGAGTGCGACGCGGACCACCTCCGCCGCGCGAACATGGACCTCGACGCGGCGAACCGCGCCCTCGTCGAGGAGAACGCCCTCGTCCAGAAGAAGCTCATGGCCTCCCTCGAGCTCCTCGAGCGGTACCAGGACCAGATCATCCGCATGGGCTCCATGAGCCGCGCGGAGGACGCGCCGCCGGAGGAGGTCGGGTAAGTGCGAAGCGAGGGTCCGGCGATGGCGACCTGGCTCATCCCGAGGTGGCTCGTCGTCCGAGTTCAAGTTGCCGTCAACCGGGAGTTTCGAGTTTTTGTGGGATGATGATGATGGCCTTCCTCCGAAAGCTGCCCCTGCTCGCGGCGGCGTGCGCGGCGCAGAAGAACGGCAAGTCGAAATCGGGCGGCGGCTCGACCACGACGACCGTCGGCGAGTCGGCGACGCACGCCTGCGGCTACGGGACCGCGGCCTGCCCGACGTGCCCCTTCGAGGCGTCGGCGGCGCCGAAGCGCGTGCGCAGGGAGCTGCGGAGCTTATCGGATGACGAGTGGGACCGCGTCGTGGATGCCATGTGGACCATGAAGACGACGAGCGCCGCCGACGGCGCGGCGCTCTACGGCGCGAGCTTCCGGACCTACGACGCGCTGGTCGTGAAGCACGCCGTCGCGACGACGGACTCGCGGGGAGACCAGGCCCACTTTGGGCCGCAGTTCCAGACCTGGCACGGCGCGTTCATCCTCGAGTTCGAGATGTCGCTGCTGGCCATCGACCCGGCCATCGGCGCGTGCCCCTACTGGGACGCGTCGATCGACGGCGCGTTCCCCGCCTACTTCGGCTCGAGCCCCGGGACCGCGGCCAACGACGCCGTCGACGACGGGCCCTTCGCCGGGTGGACCGTGTCCGCCTACGACGGCGACGCCTACGCGGCTTCGCTCACGGGCGCCACGGCGGACTTCTCCGGGTCGTCGTCGACGGGGCTGCTCCGCGGCACGGACAACACGCTGACGAACGACCTCGTGACGCGCTTCGGCACGACCTGGACCTACGACGCCGACCACTTCGACAACTGCGCGTCGCTCGCGTCGAGCGACGTGCTCTGGTACGACTGGTATGCCCCCGGTGTTGGTGTTTGTGGCGCGCGTTGCCCAGACTGCGCTTCTCAGGTACGAATGCGTCGAGGAGGGCAGCGCGGCGGGCACGACGTACCAGACCATCTCGCTCCACGGCGGGCCCCACCAGACCGTCGGGAGCAAGACCGGCAGCGAGCGCGGCGACGTCGAGGACCCGATCACGTCGCCGAACGATCCTTTGTTCATGTTCCACCACAACAACCTGGAGCGGAACAAGCTCCACTGGATGCGGCGGAACCCGGAGCTGGCGACGACGTTCTACGGCTACCCGGTCAGCGGCGCGTCGGCGTTGAAAGGCGGCGCGATCGAGGGCATTTACCTCGAGGACGCGGCGTCGTCCGCGTGGGGCTTCACCGCGGCGGACCTCGGCCTCGGCGACGACGCTTCGACGCTCCTCACGCACGGCGACTTGGTCTGCGGCCTGGACCCGAAGACGGCGCCCTACACCTTCGACGACCTGGAGACTCTCCCGGAGCTCGTCACGGGCTACGTCTACTGCGACAACCAGTTCGAGCTCTACGTCAACGGCGACCTCGTCGCGTCGGATCCGCTCACGTTCACGCCGCACCAGGCCGTGCGCGTGTCCTTCGACTACGACGGCGTCAGCGACAAGACCTACGCGATCCTCTGCCAGGACTACGCGAGCGACTCGGGCTACGAGTACACGGAGACGAACGCGCAATTGGGCGACGGCGCGCTCATCGCCGAGTTCTCCGATGGCACGGTGACGTCCGCGGACTGGCGCTCCTACGTCGTGTCCTTCGGCCCCACGGACGCGAGCATCGCCGACGGCTGCTCGTCGTCGAACCTCGGCGCCTGCGCCGTCGAGGACGGCGGCGCGCCCGACGGCTGGGCGCTGCCGGACTTCGACGACTCGGCGTGGGCGCCCGCGACGGTCTACACGGCGGCCCAGGCCGGCTGGGGCCGCACGCCGGCCTGGGACGACGACGACGGGTGCTGCGAGCCGACGAGCCCCATGGACATGTCGGCGCTCGGCTGCTGCTCCTGCAACTACGACCTCGCGAGCGGGACGTCCGTAGCCGCGGCCGTGTCGAAGAACGAGTGCCTCGTGCCCGAGGCCGTGCTCTCGGAGGCGACGGCGTCGTTCCTCTGGGGCGCGGACCTCGAGCGGGACAACAAGATGCTCTTCCGCACGACGACGCCCGCGCCGGCGTCGTCGTCGCGGCCGCCGACGGAGTCGCCCGCGCCGACGCCGCGGCCCGCGCCGCGGCCGACGGCCGCGCCGATCCCCCCCACGCCCGCGCCGCTCGCGCCGACGCCGCGCCCGTCGCCGGCGCCCACCGACGCCGTCGTGCACGTCGTCGTGGGATCGCTCACCGTCGCGGGCGTCGACCTCGCGGCGGCCGCCGCCGAGGCCGACGTCTTCGCCGCGGCCGTCGCGGACGTCGCGGCCGTCGCCGTCGACGCCGTGACCGTGGAGCTCTCCGCGGCGCGGCGGCGCCGCCTCTCGGCGGGCGTCGTCGTCGCCTACACCGTCGAGGCGGCGTCGGAGGACGCCGCGGCCGACCTCGCGGACGGCCTCGCGGAGGCGACGACGACGGACTTCGACGCGGCCATCGCGGCGGCCGCGGCCGGCTCGCCGACCTTCGCCGCGGCGTCCACGACGGCGCTCACGCCGCCGGAGGCGACGACCGTCGCGGCGACGACGACGATTCGCCGCCGTCGTCGAAGAAGTCCGACGGCGCCGATTCAGCGTCGGGCTCGCTCGTCGTCGTCGTCGCCGTCGTCGCGGTCCTCCTCGTCGCCGGCGGCGCCGTCGCCGTCGTCGTCCTCCGCAACGGCGGCAAGACGCGGCACGACGCCGAGGAGACGAAGGGCGTCGAGCTCAAGGACGCGTCGGAGATCGAGGTCTTCGCCACGGAGGACGAGGGCATTTAGACCCCTAAGCGCAGAGCGGCGCGACCTTCGGCCGCGCGGGCACCTCGTCGTAGCCGCCGCCGGCGAGGAACCGCGCGAACATGTCGAGCGCGTGGCGCGGGCGGTCCTTCGGCACCATGTGTCCCGCGCCCTTCACGGTGAGGAACGTGAAGGACCCGCTCGCCGCGTAGGTCTCGAAATAGCCCGCGACCTGGCCGTCCGAGCCCTTCCACGCGGCCCAGGGCGACGCGACCGTCAAGTTGAGGCTGGCGATCCAAGCCGCGTTGCCTGTGTGGATTCCAACCACTGGTTTGGGGGGTCCCCACCAAACTTCAGAACTCTCTATCTCGGTCACATCGAAGTCGATTCGGCTGATTTTTGGACGAATCGATTGCTCTTGTCGAGTTCTCGAAGCAAGGCGAAAGAGTCTGGTCCAAACCGTTCGATTACGCGCACATTGAAGTCGGGTTGAAGGTTTGGAATCTACACAGCGCGTTGCCCATGTGCGATAAAATATAGTCCGCGTCGCCGTTGTAAATGAGGATCTCCAAATCCCCGTCCTTCGTCCACCGCTCGTAGTTCGGCAGCTCCGACGCGTAGTTGAATTCGTACTGGGACGTCATCACGCCGCAATCGGCCCAGGCGCCGCCCGGGATCGTGCCCGCGCGGACGCCGATGGCCGCCTGGACGGCCGGCGTGTTGAGGTACTTTTTGACGTAGGTGTCCGCGCACGTCGGGAAGACGGGCGAGATCGTCGTGGCCCCGAGGAAACCGTCCGCGCGCCGCGACCGCCGCTCGGCCTCGAGCACGAAGGCCTGCGTCTTGAGGCGCTCCTGGTCCGCGTCGAGGCACACGTCCTCGTAGATGTCGTAGATGTCTATCGAGCCGTCCATGGCCCACTTCGTCGTCGCCTCGACGGCGTCGCCGCAGGCCGCGGGGCAGTGCACGTCGTCGCGGGGCCAGAAGCAGCGCGCGAAGTCGCCGCCGCAGGCAGTTTGCGCGGCCTCGAAGTCCGCCTGGCTCGTCAGCGCGTGGTAGCGGCCGTTCGCGACGTTCGCGTTGAAGTCGAGCTGCCAGTCGCAGTAGCCGTTGCCTACCATGAATCCCTTCAAGTTGATGCGCGCCGCGTCGTTTTCCGGTAGCGCAGCGTTGCCCGCCTCGACGGCCGCGGCCGTGTTCGGCACGTAGTGGCCTCCGTACGACTCGCCCGCCACGTAGAATTCGCGGCCCTCGAGCTCCGGGTGCGCCGCGAAGAAGGCCACGAGCGCCTCGTAGGTGTCCGACGCCGTCGTCGCGTCGTCGATCGTCGCGTTCGGGTACGAGAAGCCGACGCCCGCGGGCTGCTCGATGAAGAGCACGTTCGCGACCGTGTTCCACGAATAAGGGTTGAGCGTGACGGCGCCCGCCGCGTCGAGCACGTAGGGCCCGAGCTCCGTAAACATGCCGCCGAGGCTCGAGCAGCCCGGCCCGCCGTTGAGCCAGAGCACGAGCGGCTTCGACGCCGCGTCCTCCACGGCCTCGTGGTACCAATGAAACAAGGCCTTGGTGCCCGCTTCTACATCCAGGTAGCCCGTGTAGCTCTTCCAGCACTGGGAGACAGGGATGTCGAGCCCCGGCAGCGCCTCGACGACGTCGGAGTTCGAGGCCTGCGCCGTCGCGACGATGCCGAGGAGGATGGTCGAGCGCATCGTTGACCTCGCACCCAGCTCCGAGCAACCAGCCTGCGAAGAGTTTATTCCGGTCGCGTCAACAAACGATGTTTACCCCCAAACGAGCGGGCAGCTTATCAGTCGTTGGCAGGCCACCGACACGATGCCGCCGCCGCAGCCCCCCGGCTGGCAGGCCTTCGACACGTCGACGGAGGCCGGGCGCATGCTGAAGAAGCTCTACGGCGGCGCCGCGGGCCACCCGAACATCGCCTACCCCAAGCTCACGACGAAGCCGGCGCCGACGGGCCCCAAGCCCTCCTTCGTCGGCGGCGGCGCCCGGGTCGGCGCCCGGGACCCGCGGGACGCGTCGCGCAAGAAGGTCAGCGTCGCCGTGCCCCACCGGAAGCGGCCCGAGTCCCAGTACCGGCCCATCGACTTCGTGCGCCGAAAAAAAACCGTCGGCGCGATCGAGGAGGGCATGGCCGACATGCGCATGCGGAACGACGCGTACCGGCCGCCGCGGACGCGCGTCTTCTCGACGGAGGACGAGAAGGCGCGGCTCCAGGAGAAGTGCCAGTACGGCGGCGGCAAGGGCCTGCCCCGGGAGATGACGATGCCCGCGGGGCCGTGCCCGTCGGAGCTCCGCGCGGAGCTCAAGGAGGAGCAGCGCGTCGCCAAGGAGTGGCGCAAGCGCCGCGGCGAGCCCGAGCCGGCGCCCCGGGCCGCGCCGCCGCCGCCGGACCTGCGCGTCGAGCTCGTCGACACCATCTCCGCGGAGATCGACGACCGCCAGCGGTTCCTCGACTCCATGGCCAAGCTCGGCCAGCACAACGACAACACGCGCCGCATCGAGTCGGAAATCGCGACGCGGAAGCACGAGCTGTCCAAGGCCGCGGCGCGACTCAGTTAAATTAAAGCCTCCGCGCGAGCTTCGCGCGGCCGACTTCGCGGCCGGGGCGGCGAGGGGAACCTTTGTGTTCAACGTAGCAAAAACCACCACAATCGTTTTAGGACGAGGGAGAGCGGGGCAGCCATGGCACTGCGCGCGCGCGGCGTCCCACTCCGAGCCGCGTCCCGGAGCCGCATGTTCGTATCGTAGGCACGAGGCGGCGCACGTCGTGGAGCACGCCCTGGTGGGCCTCGGCGTCGGGAAGCACGACGGTAGCTGGCGGCGCACGGAGGAGTTCTTCAAGGGGAGCTGCGGCCTCGAGACCGTGCCCGTGCTCCACAAGACGCGCTTCGACGCGGCGAACCGCCCGGCCATCGTGGACCGGACCTTCGACGACGAGGACGACCGCAAGCGCACGGGCTTCATCGACCGGGGCAAGCGGCGGTTCCGGACGCTCGACAAGTCCTCGGCGCACTCCGCGGGCTGGACGTCGGGCCCGCCGGCGCAGGTGCCGCCCATCGCCCTCTTCAGCCCGCGGTCGCCCTGGTCCACGACGCCGGCGCGGACGGCGCCGACGTCCCTCGCGGCGAGCCGCGACCCCTCGTTCCGGGGCGCCGCGCCCGCGCCCGCGCCCGCGCCGCCCCGCGCGCCGCCAAACGGCTCGAGCCCCCGGCGCCTCAAGCCCGTCGCCACGCCGCCCAAGGCCCCCAAGGTCCCCGAGGCGCCGCCGCCCGCGCCGTCGCCGCGGACCGCGCGCGTCGTCGCGCCGCGCCGCGACGACCCCAAGCTCCTGCCGCGCATCCCGCCCGTCTCCGCGACGCCGCCGCGGAACCACGACTGGCGCCCCGTCCTCGGCATCCCGGCCATGAAGCCGCCGCCGTCCTACGGCTCCTCGAGCAGCCCGCGCCAGCTCCGGCTCAACGAGCGCGCGGCCGGGCGCGCCGCGAAGAAGCTCAAGCTCCTCTAGGCGGGGGTATGCGGCGGCGCCCACATGTATACACGTCCCTAGTCGGGCCGGCAGGCCGCCGGCAGCTCGGCGAGGGTCGCGCAGACGTGGGGGCCGCCCGCCGTCGCCGCGCGGCGCACGGCGCCCGCGTCGCACCGGGGCGAGAGCTCGACGTACCAGAAGGACGCGAAGGGCGACGTGCGGTGCCCCAGCGCCGAGACGTGGCCCTGCATCTTGTCCTTGGCCCGCATGGCCTTGGGCGTCCAGTAGCAGTACCGCTTCCGGGGGCACACGTAGACCGGCGGCGGCCGCTCGGCGCCGCTGACGCGCGCGAGGAAGTCGGGCTTCGCGGCGACGTAGTTGGGCATGAGCAGGAGGTAGGGCCGGTCGTGCGCTTGGCAAAAGTCGAGGAGCCGGTGCACGTGGTCGCCGCTGTACGGCGGATTCGTGACGACGACGTCGTGCGGCGGCAGCGCGTTTCGCCGCAGCGTCTCGTAGAAGTCGGCGCGGTCGTTGCGCACGTTCTCGAAGCCCAGCGCGCCGAGGTGGGCCTTCATGGCGCCCGCGCAGTAGTAGGGGTCGTAGATCGCGAGCGTCCTCCGACTTTTCCCGAGCGCCGCCGCGACGAGGTCGAGGACCGCGGCGACGTCGCCGTAGGCCTCGGGCGGCGACTCGCAGTGGTCGTCGGCGTCGGCCGCGAAGGGGAGCGCCGCCAGGTTCCGCTCGCCCGCGGCGCGCGCCGCCGCGTGCCGCGCGGCGTCGGCGGCGACGAGCGCCGCGCGCGCCTTCTTGCCCATGGACTTCCAGCGCGCCTTGAGCGCCGCGTCGAAGTGGGGCTGGTCCGGGTTGAGGCGGTCCGAGAGCGAGCCGCCGTCGCCGGCTGTCAAGCTCGCGAGGAGCGCCGCGTCCTCGGGAGCGGCTGCGGCGGGCGCCGGGGCCTCCGAAACCTTCTGCTTCTTCTTCTTCTTCTTCTTTTTCTTCTTTGCTTGTTGCTGCGATGCGTTTGGTGCGTCCGTGGGCGTCGCTGCGGCGGCCGCGTCCGGTCGCTTGCGCTTATTTGGCTTGCCCATCGCGACTGCACTAGAGCTAGGGGCAATTTTGGCTCCTTCGCGCATCTTGAAGGGCTCTCGATGGGCGGGCAATGGGCACCTCCGAGAGGCTGCTCTTATATGTTGATGGGCTGCTCCTCCGGAGAGGCTGCTCACTCGATTGAATGCTGATGGGCTGCTCCTCCGAGAGGCTGCTCACTTGACTGCATGCTGTGGCTGCTCCGTGCGGCATTCGCCGGCCTCCTCGCCTCAAAGACGCCCTGCCAGGAGCTCGACGAGCTCCACGCCGCGTGCTCTGCGCGCCGCGCGCTGCTCGACGTCGACGGCGCCGACCGCCGGAGGACGCTCTACTTCGACCACGTGCCGAAGACGGGCGGCAGCGCGCTCGCGCTCCACGGCTGCGCGCCGGCGTCGGCGGCCGCGTTCAAGGCCGCGCGGCGCGGCGCGGCGGAGACGGCCGCCGCGGGCACCTGGCGGGCGATGCGCGCGCGGCTCGCCGTCGGTACGAAGCCGTTTCGCGTCGAGGAAGCCGCGGCGGGCGGCGCGGTCTACGAGTGGATCGAAATGTCGCGCCACATCCAGCACGTGCCGTCGCGCGTCTGGCGGCCGGCCTTCCCCGCGGCGCGCTTCAAGCGGTTCTGCTGCGTGCGGCACCCCTACGCGCGCTTCCTGTCCTTGTTCCGCCACGAGGCGCTCGCGTCGGGCGCGCCGGGGCACGCGGACGTCCGCGCGGTCAACCGCTCGAAGCGGGCCGCGCTCGTCTCCGCGCCGGCGCTGGAACGCTGGGCCCGCGGCCGCTTCGGCGCGCTCGAGCGATCGACGTGCCCCATGGCCGTCGACGGCGTGGCCGCCGGCACGCGCTGCGACCCGGCGGCGGTCCGCGAGGCCCTGTGCTGCCTGGACGTCGGCCGCGGCGACGACGGCCATCTGGCGCCCCAGTCCGTCTTCGTCTTCGGCGCCGACGGGCGTCGCGTCATCGACCACGTGCTGCGCTACGAGACGCTCGCCGACGACTTTTCGGCGCTGTTCCGCGCCTACGGCCTCGACGGCGCCGCGGACTGCGCGCGGCGGCACCCGCCGCGGGCGTTTCTCCGCGACGCGCGCGACCGGGAGGTCGCGGCGCTGTCCCGGTCCACGGTGCACCTCCCGCGCCTCGAGCCCCGGGACATGCCCGCGGGCCTGCGCCGCGACGTCGACGCCGCCTACGCCCTCGACTTCGCGCTCCTCGGCTACCGGCCGTTCTAAGGGTTAGGCGAGGACGCGGTAGAGCGCGCGGAGGCCCGACGCGGCGACCTTGAAGGGCGCGAGCGCGAAGCAGGCGACGTCCTGGTAGAGCGACGACGCGAGGATGACCGCGGCGTCGACGGCGTAGTGGCCGACGAGCCGGGCCTTGGACGCGCCGCCGCCGGCGTCCTCCGCGCGGCGGACGACGACGAGCGCGAGCGCCGCGACGAGCGTCAGCGAGCTCAGGCAGAGGACGACGAGGGGCAGGCGGTGGAGCGCGAGCAGGTCGCCGACGATGGACGCGAGGGTCCGCGGGGGCCGCTTCGACCGCGGCGCGCGGGGAGGAGGTGAGGGGCTCCGGCGGCCGTCGTCGCACGCGACGCACTCGAGGCGGTCCGCGCCCCGGTAGGGGTTCGGCGGCGGCGGCGCCCGGCCGCCGTGGTGGAAGAGCGCGGACACGCGCAGCGGCGAAACCGCCGGCAACAAGCCCGCGGCCTCGCGGCTGTCGTCGTCCTCCGCGTTCACGACGTAGAGCGCCTCGTCGCGCTCCGCCGCGACGGCCCGGAGCCAGGAGAAGCGCGCCTCGGACCGGTCCTCGAGGTCGCGCAGGTCCACGAGGCGCGACGCCACGTCCAGGCTCTCGAGGCCCAGCGCGCCCGCGAGCGCGGCGCCGAGCGCGTACCAGAGGAAGCGCCACCAGAAGAGGACCAGCGTGCAGTGCAGCACCAGGAGCACGACGGACGTGAAGAAGGCGTAGCGCCTTAAATCCAGCGCCTCCGGCGACAGCGCCGCGTGCACGAGGGGCATGGCGTCGCGCCAGGACCGCGCCGCGTCGCGCCACGTCGCCGCGGACTCGAACCGCGCCGCGATCGCATATTCCGCGAGCGGCGCGTGCGCGAGCGACAGGACGCGCGACGCGCGCCAGAGCACGCGGCTCGGCGCGAAGGCCAGGCGGCAGCTCTCCGGCGCGCCCAGCGACGACGTCACGACGACCAGCGCCGCGCCGGAGAACCAGCGGAGCCGCGACGCCGCGCGCCGCGCCGCGGCCTCGACCGGCGCGCGCTCGTCGCGCCACCGCCGGGCCGCGGCCTCGACCTCGCGCCGCCGCAGCCGGGCGACGCGCCGCCGCTGGCACGCCGGCGCGTAGGCCAGGCCCAGGAACCGGCCCCGGCCGCAGCAGTGGTCGCGCGCGGCCTCGGCGGCCAGCGCGCGCGCGACGCAGCGGTCCTCGGGGCTCGCGGCGCCGCGGGCTGCGGCCCAGGCGACGGCCGCGTCGCCGCGCGCCGCCCAGGCCTTCGACGCCCAGGCGCCCGTCGTGCCCGTCGCCCGCCAGCCCCGGCACACGCGCAAAGTCCGGCAGAGCGTGGGGTCGTCCAAAAAGTCGAAGACGTTCTCGAGGGCCCAGCGCGGCTGCTGCGAGCTCTCGCGGGGCGCGGCGAAGATCGCGTGCGAGTGGTTGGGCGGCGGCGGCGACGGCATCGTTGCGCGAACGCGGCTGCTCTACGACCTCAAACGTTTTTGCATCGGAGCATCGGAGAAAGGGCAATCCGCGTCACCTTAGCGGCAACAACGACAAGGACGGCTAAGTGCCGTGCTGGATGCAGCTTCGGGGCAGCCTCGCACGATGCCGAGTATTCCTCGCAGCTTCGGGCTGCTCGTCCTCTCGAGAGTCGTCGTTCCTCGGCCGCCGGACTGGCAAGACAAGCCCCCGCCGCCCGCGTGCGCTCCTCGCGCGTGCTCGGCCGAGGCGCGCGGCGGCTGGGAGTGCGGCGTCGTGATGGCCGTGGACAACACGTACTGGAACACGGTGAACGCGTTCGGGCGCTACGCGCGCGACTACATCCCCATGTACGAGGCGGACCTCGATCGCATGGGCATCCGCCACCTGCCCGTGGGCAGCGGCTGCCCCCTGTTCAAGCGGCCCTTTGGGAGCGACGACGAGCCCGCGTTCCTCACCCGCCTCAAGTGCGTGAGTGACCCCGAGCCCGACACGAACGACGGCTATTGCAACTGGGAGCAGGCCCACTACGACAGCACGCTGTCGGTGTCCGACGAGGCCGTCGCGCGCGGCTGCGCCGACGCGGAGATCGACTACATCTACACGGTGGACATGGACTCCGTCGAGGCGAACTGGGGCTACTGCGACGGGACCTCCGACGAGATCTGCGTGCCCTGCGCGCCGTCCGAGGCCGAGCCGGCGCCGTCCTGCGACGCCGTCGCCGATCCCTGCGAGGAGCTCTTCGGGGCGACCTTCGCCGTCGGCGACGCGGTCTGCTGGGACAACTCGGAGTGCAAGCGCGCGCGCGGCAACGAGGACTGGTGCGGCCGCGTCGCCGACGGCAAGCGCTGCGTCTGGACGTCGGAGGCGACGGCCGCGCCGACGCCCGGGAGCGCCGTCGCGGCGCCGACGTCCGCGCCGGCGCGCGCGCCGACGCGCGCGCCGACGTCGACGCTCGCGACCGGCGCGACGACGGCGGCATCCGAGCCGACGACGACGGCGGCCGCCGCCGACGGCGACGACGGCGACGCGCTCACGGCGTCGGCGTCGCTGTACGTGCTCGGCGCCTGCATCCTCCTCGTCGGCGTCGCCATCGGCGTCGGCCTCTCCCGGCGCCTCAAATCGCGCCGCCGGCACATCGACGCCCACTGCGTCGAGCTCGCGGACGTCGCGACGAGGGTGGACCCACCCATGGCGGAGATCGTCAGCGTCAACCCCTTCGGCGAGAAGGAGGAGCTCATCATGCAGGCGCACTGCTAGCGAGCGAACAACCCCGTCCCTCGGCTCGCACACTAACAACCCCGTCCCTCGGCTCGCACACTAACACCCCCGCCCCTCAGCTCGCAAACTAACACCCCGTCCCCCGCGCGGCCAGCGTCGCGAGCGCGAACAGCGCGCCGCGCGTGACGCCGCCGCCGCCGCGCGCCTGGGGCCAGATGCCCCGGAGGTCGTCGGCGGCGACGTCGACGGGGCCGCCGTCGGGCGCGCGCGCGTCGACGGCCGCGCCGGCCTCGAGGCCGAGCGCGTCGAAGACCGCGTCCGCGCCGTGGCACGGGGCCGGCGCGACCGGTAGGCGGAGCCAGACCGCGGCGTCGACCTCCGCGTCCGCGCCGCGCGGGCACCCGACGCGCGCGCCGCGGGGCAGCCGCGCGACGTAGTAGACGACGAGGTGGTGGCGCCGGAGGCCGTCGGCGCAGCGGACCACGCTCTCCGGAAACGCGCTCTCCCACGCGCACAGGGGGACCAGCGCCGCCTCGTCGACCTCGAGGCCCGTCTCCTCGCGCACCTCGCGCGCCGCCGCCGCCGCGGAGCGCTCGCCCGGGTCCACGCCGCCGCCGGGCGGGACCCAGGCGCGCGGGAACGTCCTCATGAACGGCGACCGCCGCGTCAACAGCACGCGGTCCGCGCCGTCGTCGCCCCGCCGCACGACGAGCACGCAGGCGCCGAGGAGCAGCGACGGCGCCGCGCGCGCGTCGGCCCGCACCCGATCGCTCGGCGACGGCGTGCACCGCGCGGGGCACTGCGCCGCCGCGCCCCGCTCGAACTGGTGCGCGAGCGGGATCGACGCGCACGACGCCGACGTCGCGGCGGCGACGGACACGGTGCCGTTCTCGCGCTGCCGCAGCTCGACGAGGCACGACTCGCAGAAGCCCAGCGACGCGTCGAGCTCCTCGCCGGCGGCCAGCTGGTCGAGCACGCAGATGTTGCCGCCTTCGAACGCCGCGCGCTGCGCTTCGCCGGCGCCGCTCGGCGCGACGACGTTGTGAAGCGCGGACATGCGAGAGGAAGTTTGGCGCGCCAGCAGTGGCGCGCGACTGCTGCGAGAGGAAGTTTGGCGCGCCAGCAGTGGCGCCGCGCGACTGCTGCGAGAGGAAGTTTGGCGCGCCAGCAACGGCGCCGCGCGACGAAGCACTAGGCACAGGGCGACTGTGGCGCGACGAGCGCGGAGCGCGTAGCTCATGCACTGCTCCTACCCCACATCGCACGCCGTTTGGGCCAGGGTTCACGATGTGTTCACGATGCCGCCAACATTGAAGACCACAGCAGCCCCACCTGACACCAAAAGCGGGGCCATCACGGGGTTAGACGCCGCGTTCTTCGGCTCCGGTGGAGGGAGCAGCCCCCCGGCGCGGCCGCGTTGCCCGGCGGGGCCCACGAGCCCCGCGACGCCCCGCGGGCGGCCCCGACGGCCATGCGGGGCGCGTCCGTCCTGTCGCCGCTCCAGGCCCTCCTTTTTGCCGGCGCCGGCGCGGCGGCGACGTCCCTCGTCTTCCTCCAGCTCAACAAGACGAAGCGGAAGAAGCGCGAGAGCGTGGACCCGCGGCACCACGTGGACCCCGCGTTCCTCGTCGGCGGGCGCGCGACGCTCGCGCGGCCGCACTGGCGCCGCTTCGAGGGCTTCTCGCGGCACAGCGTGCCCGGCGGCGGCTACGTCTGGCGCCTCGTGCTCACGGGCGGCCCCTGCGGCGGGCGGAGCTCGGCGATCAAGCACCTGAGCCAGGAGCTGAAGCGGCGGGGCGTCGACGTCTACGCGGTGCCCGAGGCGCCGACGACCTTGATCAACGGCGGCTGCCGGCCGCCGCGCGTCTTCGACGGCGACGACGAGCCGTTCGATCACGCGGCGCCGCTGCCCCTGCCCCTGGTCCCCGGCGGCGACGACGCCGCCGGCGGGCCGCGGCTGCCGCCGCAACGGCCGCGCGCGCTCGACCAGCTCGCGGTCTTCGAGACGGGCCTCCTCCAGCTCCAGCTCCAGATGGAGCGGAGCTTCGTGAAGATCGCCCAGGCCACGGGGCGGCCCGCCGTCGTCGTCATGGACCGGGGTCTGCTGGACGCCGCGGCGTACCTGCCCCAGGACGGCGCGCAGTGGCGCGAGATTTTGGCGGACATCGGCGTCAACGAGCCCTACCTCCTCGGCCGCTACGACATGGTGCTCCACCTGCGCACGGCGGCGGCGGGCGCCGAGGCCCACTTCGACGACGCGCGGCTCTGCGGCCTCGGCGACGGCGACGGCCGCTACGACCGCCGCGGCGCGCTCGACCGCGCGATGGACCTCGACGGGCGCCTCGAGCGCGCCTGGCGGCGGCACCCGCGGCGCATCATCGTCGACAACGACAGCGCGGACTTCGGGTCCAAGCTCGGCGAGGTCCTCGGCCACGTCTCCAACCTCGTCCAGCCGCCCGGGCCCGCGGGCATCTTGTGAGCCCCCTCTCTCTTTTTTCGTCTCCCCCCCTTCGTGCTGTTTAATGATGTCACCTCGGCTTCGCCGCGTCGTCGGTCTCCGGCGCGGGCTCCCCGAGGACGCCCGTCTGCGCGAGCGACGACGCGCGGCGCTTCGGCGGGAGCCGGTTCGCCGCGGGGTCGTGCTTGAGCTGCGTGTCGAGGATGAGGCGCGCGATGTCGTGGATGAGCAGCACGCCGACGAGGCGCCGGTTGTTGAGCACGTGGACGCGGTCGAGGTGGCCGTAGTCCGTGAGCGCCGCGTTCACCACGCAGCCGCCGATGGTGTGGTTGTGGCCCACGGCGCACCAGGGCTCCTCGTAGAGGTAGCGGAGCACCTGCTTGACGGGCTCGCAGAAGAGGGCCGCGAGCGTGGTCGCCATTTTCTTCTCCACGACGGGCGTGCATTCGGCGTTCGGCGACTTCTCCTCCGGGCCGCTCTTGGCGATGGCCATGAGCTTCATGCCCGCCTTCATGGCGCCCCAGCCGCCCGAATCGCGCCGCGCCGCCGCGAGGCCGCCCCCGAGGCCGCCGGCCTTGGCCCCGGGCGCCGCGGGCGCGCGCGGCTTCGGCGGCTCCGGCTCCGCGCGGTCGTTCACGTGCTTCAGGTCCATGACGAGCCGCAGCACGTCCGGCGTCAGCGCCCCGCAAAATAAACCGTCGTCGTCGACGACGGCCACGGCGGGCACGCGCTCCACGGCGAAGAGCACGAGCGCGCGCCAGAGCGGGTCCTCGTTCGACACGGTCCGCGGCATGCGCACCAGGCCCGCGCGCATGATGGGCGTGTGCCAGACCTCGCCCAGGAGCCGCGGCTCGAGGTGGAGCATGTTGAAGACGTCGCGGGGCGTCAGGATGGTCACGACGTCCTCCTTCTTGCACGCGATGGACTGGACGACGGGCACCATGATGTGGCCCTGCGCGATGGACTCGAGCACGTGGAAGGGCATGCAGTCCAGGATCAGCGGGTGGGGCACGAGCTCGCCGCCGTGGCCCCGCCGCTCGCTGAACATCATGGGCACGCAGTTCTCCGCGAGCGCCGCGGGCAGGTGCGCCTCGAGGAACGCGACGGCCGCGAGGCACCTGGGCGGGACAAGGGTGATTCAACGTCGCTTCAACGTGAGTGTTCCGCGCGCGCGCGTTCCGGAAAAAGCATCCACGCTTCGAGACCGTTCCGAGAGATGATCGCTCGTCCAAAAATCAGCCGAAACGAGTGGAAAACGACCGAGATAGGAACCTTGGGAAGTTCGCGCTCTTTTCCTGCCCCGCGAGGCACTCGGCCGTCTCGGGCGCGTCCGCGTCGTCGTCCTTGTCGACCATGGCCTCCTTGCCGTAGGAGCTCTTGGAGCGCATGATGTTGCCCTTGGCGGACCGCCGCTTCTCCTCGCGCGTCATCTTCTCCTTGGCGCCCTTCTTCTTGCCCTTCTTGCCCTTCTTCTCCTTCTCCTCGCCCGAGGCCTCGCGCGACTTCGCGCGCGCCTCGAGCGCCTGGAGGGGGTTGATGATCTTCGGCGGCGGCGCGCCCTTGGGCGGCGGGCAGTCCTCCCAGAACCGTTTTTTCGTGGCGGCGCACGCCGCGTCGACGCGGACGTCGCCGGCCTCCTCCATGGCGTCGAGGAGGCGGCTCACGACCTGGTCCAGCGCGTGCGCCGCGGAGACGACGCCGACGAGGGCGCCGCGGCGGATCAGGGGCATGGCGAGCTGCGACCGCTCCAGCAACGTAAACAGCGCGACGTAGACCGTGCCGTCCGCGAGCACGGGCGACTTGACGTCGACGGGGTCGTTCTCGAGGTAGTCGTCGATGGTGCCCATGAAGAGGGGCGGCCGGTGGCGCGCGAGGATGCCGCTGGGCCGCTCGCCCTCCTTCTCCTTGCGCTCCGCGGGCGCGTCGCGGTCGTCGCCGCCCTCGGCCTCGTGGCGCTCCGCGAGCTCCGCGACCTTGGCGCCCTCGGGCAGCTCGGCGTCCGACGAGTTCTCGCTCTCGGCCTCGTCCTCGTTCTCGTCCATGAGGGCCGCGTCGAGCGTGTGCATCGCCGCGAGGTCGAGCCGCTGCTCGCGGTGGCCGATGCGCGTCTCGTTTTTGCGGAGCGCGAGGACGCCGTCGATGTACTTGGCGATGTCGACGTCGTCCTGGCAGAGGTCCCAGAACTGGGCGAAGGTGAGGTACATGGACGCGCTCGGCTCCTTCTTCGACGCCGTGGACTGCATGTCCTTGGGGATCAACTTCGCGAGCGCGTCGATCGCGTCGCGCGCCTTGCCCTCGAGGGCGTTGATGTCGGGCATCTTCGTGCCCAGGGTCGCGCCGCAGGCGCCGGAGACGCTGATGAGCATCTCGGCGACGGCGCGCTGGCTCTGCTTGCCGCCGCGCGACGCGTAGAGCTCGAAGAGGAAGCCGAGGCACTGCTTCACGTCGCTGTCGCAGAGGAGGGCGAGCACGGAGAAGACCCAGGTCGCGTCGATGTGCTGGCCGCCGCCGCCGGAGCGCCAGCGCTGCATCTGGCCCGCGTCCTTGGCGACCTTGATGAGCGAGTTCCGCGCGCGGTGGAACGACGACCGCGTGAGGTCGATCTCCGCCTCGCCGTCCGGGCTCGGCATGATGCCCTGGAGCCGCAGCGCCAGGGCCTCGGCGTCGGCCTTGGAGATGGAGTGGCGCTTGCGCTCGTGGCGCACGCGCCGCATGGCCGGCGCCTGCTCGAGCATGACCGCGTGCGCGGCGCGCTTGAACGTGGACCGCAGGTCGTCGCGCCGCG